CACCTTTTAGAAGTGATTCTACACAGTTGCTTGTTTTGCATCTCCATCTAAAAAAACTATTTCAGAGAAGTGGTTTTAATAGTTTAGAATAGATATACAATATTTTCTACTACTTTATCTGTATTTTAGAGAGCTTCAGAGCTTCTTCAGAGATAGAGCTCATCTGAAGCCTGTAAAAGTGTCTCTGGTTATTAGGTTTTTCAGTCTCTAAATTTCAATTTTTTATAACATTTCAAGAATCCCCATTCAAATACCTCCTATTAAATTTTATTCTAGTACTTAAAGCTTCTCTTCTAAATCTGCTTTAAAAGCATTCAAAAAATAGGGATCTACTAGCCTTCTAGAACTGACAGTTTAAACTGCTTTCTTTACATGTCTCATTGAAGAGCACAAGTCTTTCCTAAAAAGTATCTTACAATCTGTATCATGTATCCTATAACCTGTAAAGTTATCTTTGCCCAGTAGCGTGCTCAGGTGAGGTGGGAGAACTAGGCATCATTCTATGTGTAAATAGATTACAACTTCATTTTATTTCTTGAAGTGTGTTTAGACTATTTTCTTAGTCTAAATGTGCTTCTTGCTCATTTCTCCTGAATAGGTAACTTCCACTGGACTGGATCCAAATTAATTCTTCTCTATCTGTATTATGGGCACTAGACCAGAGTTTCAGATTATAAACACTGCTTACTGTTTTTTCCCAGCATCAGAACATCATCTTTCTAAAGGTTTTATTACTTTTACCTTAAAATTCTGCTGACTTTTTTTCCCCTACAAAACCTTTCAAGAAACAAGCATGATAAAATGGGACCTGGCTGGGAAAGTTATCCACCAAAGGAAGAGCTACCTGAGCATAAATGTGCATTCTGTCTTCCTGGGTGACCTTGTCAAACTCTGCTGACACATCCAAAATTAAAAAAACGTTTGCCATCAATCGTCTAATATTTCACCCTTAACAGTAAGTGAGGAAATATTATCATTATTTTCATTTTTTTCTTTTCTATTGATAAAAAGGACTCTCTGCTTATCCACTGCTGTAGCCAGTAATATCTGAAATATTGTAAATCCCAGTGCAATAAGCTTATCCACTACCTCCTCTGGGCTTTGTTCTACAGTAAAGCATTTTGGGATGGGGAGGTTCCTCTGGATCTTTACTGTTTTGGGTAGGTTGGCACATTAGGTCAGCATTTTCCATTCTTGCTCTTTACTGACTGAAATTTGCATCTATACAAAATGCAGAACCACCAGTGTTTCTAAACTTCAGATTCACAGATACATTACTCAGCAGGTACCTCCTCTGGGCTTTGTTCTACAGTAAAGCATTTTGGGATGGGGAGGTTCCTCTGGATCTTTACTGTTTTGGGTAGGTTGGCACATTAGGTCAGCATTTTCCATTCTTGCTCTTTACTGACTGAAATTTGCATCTATACAAAATGCAGAACCACCAGTGTTTCTAAACTTCAGATTCACAGATACATTACTCAGCAGGGCAGGACACACTTTGCTACCAGTCACTACCAAATATAAGGTTCCAGGTCTGAGTATAGATTGAAGTCCTGTTTAAACCGCCTTCTGTACTTCCAGAAAGTTTCAGTTCTGCATGCACTTTCAAGATTTTACTTTTGATTCTGTAAGGTAATTGGTGAAGGCTCATTGTTAAGTGTGTGAAAGAAACTTGCTTCTCTCTCCCATTGCTAAAGAGAGCAGTAATGTTATACCCAGACTGTCAGTCTGAAGCTCAGGCTTAGAGATCTCAAGTTCATACTCCTTGACTGAAGTCATTGCTCATATGTTGAGCTCAGACTTGGCTTGAATCTGAAATTGCAAACCAGGGAAAGGACTTGCATCCTGCTTCTGCAGACAGTTTAGATTGGATGAGCTTAAGCCAAATGAAATTGCAAGCAGCCCACATTCTGGCACAGTTTAATTAAGAAACTAAAGATGTAAAGATCCAACCCAAACTCTGTCTGAAAAACTCTGGCCTTTTAGGCATAGTTCCCAGTAACAAATTGTGCAGCCCTGATTACAGGAACATGTGGATTTAAAGACATCTCCTGAGCTCTTACTGTTCTTAGCAGAAGAGCCTATTTTCATAGGTGCAAACTGCCATAAATTAGAATGATGTCACTGAATTATTGTACTGAGTGTATGTGCTGGCTTTGGCTGAGATAGAATTAGTTTTCTTCATAGTAGCTGGTATGGGGCTCTGTTTTGATTTTGTGCTGAAAACAGTGCTGATAACACAAGGATGTTTTATCTATTGCTGAGCAGTGCTTACACAGAGTCAAGGCCTTTTCTGCCTCTCACACCACCCCACCAATGAGTAGGCTGGGGGTGCACAAGAAGCTGGGAGGGGACACAGCTGGGAGAGCTGACCCCAACTGACCAAAGGGATATTCCATACTATATAACATCGTGATTTGCAAATAAAGCTGGGGAAAGAAGAAGGAAGGGGGGAACATTCAGAGCAATGGCGTTTGTCTCCCCAAGTATCCCTTATTCATGATGGATTCCTGGTTTCCTGGAGATGGCTGAACATCTGCCTGCTGATGGGAAATGGTGAATAAATTCCTGGTTTTAATTTGTTTGTTTGCAAAGCTTTTACTTTATTTATTAAACTCTCTCTAACTCAACCTACAAGTTTTCTCTTCTCTTCTAATTTTCTTCCCCATCCCACCAAAGGGGGGTGAGTGAGTAGATGTGTGGTGTTTAGTCACTGTCTGGAGTTAAACCACAATAGTTGTGGGGGTTTTTTTTGTTGGGGGATTTTTTTTTGTTTGTTTGTTTGGTTGGTTGTTTTTTTTATGGTGTGTGTACATATATAAATGTATGTGTATATATATACATATATATGTGGAAACCACACTAAGAAATTTCAAGTGCTAAACTGTAATTAACCCTCTAAAATGAATCTAAGTTTGAACACTGTTTTTATTTCCTAACTTGCTGAAAAAACTTTCAGCTTCACATATGAGAAAATACTGATTTATATGCTTTTATATTGCCCTATGCCTCTGTCCAGAAAATTCTGTGAGATGGGAGCTTCAAGATTTGTCAAGAGATGACCTAGCCCAGCCGTCAGCCTGAAGATAGGAATAATAATATTTCATTTTTCATAGGTTTTTAACAACCTGCACTTTAAGATTGCTAGCAGTGCTGGCTGAACAAATTTCCTTAACTAATCATTCATAATCCCCTCTCTTCTGTTCAGAATTTTCTTCCATAATATCTAACCTGAATCTTCCTTTTGGAATGCAGGACCATGGCTTATCCTACAGCCATGGACATCAGAGAATTCTTTCCTCTTTCTAAAAGCTTTTTATTATCTGGTATCATGCTCTTCCACAAAATCTTTTAGATGGCTTTAAATAACTTCCAGTCTTTCCTTAAGTTTTCTAAAACTCTCTCATCTCTCTGTCTTGAGATGCTCTTTAGCAGGTCTACACTTCCGAAACGCAACACAACTAAATGCAGGTATAGACATTCATAAACTGTCTTTAGTGCTCTACTGAGAGTGGCACTGTGGCATTCTTCTGTTAAACACTGTGATTATGTAGCTATACGATTTGTATTTTGACATCAGGACTGAAGTGTGGATAAATCCTACAGGTAAGTAAATATGGGATTTCTAGCAGAACTTGGAATGGTACAGAACTTTAGAGTTAGATCAAGTAAAAATACCACAATGACATTAGCTGACCAACTAAGCATAAACTGAAATTGAGATTCTAGGAAAATTTTATCATCCTATTTAGTTGTGTGGATTCTACTAAGCAAAATTCTGATTATGTGTTTACCTGATTTCTTTCTACTAATACTTAAGTATATAACATATGCAATAATCATTCATCATTCCAGTCATTTCACATGTATAGCTGCTTACTGTAGCACAGTGGGAAGCTCATATACTTAATTGAAAACAGCCATGAATATTGAATTTATCCAAAGGTAAAAAAAAAAAAAAAAAAAAAAAAGAGATTAAGTATATTCTGGAAATAATTTATCTGTAGTCTTCATGAGCCAATTATTCAACTCCTCTCCTAAACTTTCACAATAGACCAATGCTGATATTAATGACTTTTTCTCTTCTGAAAACACTTCCTCCTGATATTCAACACCAAATGCTTGAACAGTTACATATATTCAGTACAGTCTGCTCTAAGATTACACAAAAAAAAAATCCTTATCTGTTTAAAGATAGCAGAGATCAGTGGAACTATAAATTCTACGTTGTAAAATTTTTCTTGTCCAATAAACAGCTAGAAAAAATATAATGTGAAGTTGTTTTTAACACAGTGAATGCAAGTAGGTGGGAGGCATAAATTGCAAAGAGAGGAGAAATGGTAGTGTAACCAGCAACAAGTAATCCATATAATAACTGATAAGCCATGGATAAGAGAGGAAATCAAACAAAATCCAATGAAACAGTTGTTACATTCATTGCAGCCCTCTCCTGTTTGTTACAAAGGCATGGCTTGCTGACTGTGGTGGAAGAGAAATGAAAACACTATCTCTTTCTGTCTGTTGCTCTAAACCAAAGGAACTAAAGGTCACATACAGAGGAACATGAATTTACCTTGGCTCCATTTTCACAGTTCCCAGATGAGAAACAATGATGACCTTAGGGAGCCAGCAGTATTCCCTTAGTAGTCTCTATATTAGGCATTTGAAATATATTGAAAATAAAGTGGTAAGATTACCACCCACTTAAGAAAACACATTGATTCTTTATAAATATGAGAAAAATTAAAGATTAATTTCAGAAAATTACTTATGGCACAAAAAACACATTAATGTTGCTCACATCATTATTTATAGAGAAAGTAAGTTATTTTGGCTGAGGTGACAAATTATCCTTCCATGGCAGAAGGAAGAAAATAGTTTACAAGTCCAAGCTGTAAAGTTATTAAACAAGATCTGACTGTACTAAGAAATGCACAACATATTAGAAAAGTCAATTTCTTAAATTAAATGGCAAATCAGCAAGTGGATGAAGGACTGACCTTAGATCGGGGTGGTGCTCGGATGTACCATTTACAGTCTACTGCTTCAGTTTCAGAAGCTTTTCCATCTTTGACAATTTGTACAGATTCCACAATTCCTTCAGGTCCTCCCATCTCAAACTCACAAACTGAATAACAAAATACCAGAAAAAATGAAACCTGAACAGCAAACAAAAATATTTTCTACAGCAGAGTGCAAAGGTCTCTAAGTTTAAAAAAAAAAAAAAACCACAACATACCAACCTGGCAATGGCTTCAAAACACCAAGGTCCTTAAAATCCGGATCTTAAAAATTGAGAAAGAAAAAATTAGTTTTGTTCAATATGCTGGCTATAATGTCAATGTGTTAAAATTTGACAATGCACTTCAGTGATATGATTATACATATATTTCTTAGAAATGAGAAGCGTTTCATAACTATAGCAACCCACTAATTATTAATGAAGAGATTATTGATACTATCATACCAAGTTTGATGTTTTTTTCCTGTTATGAAATTCTATTTTTCTCTATCTCTCTCAGAAGAGTGAGCTCAAAAATATTTCTGCATACACTAGCAAGCAAGAATACCACAAAACAAACCACATGATATTTTAATACATCAGTCTAATGAAAGTGGATATATTTACAGATCTATTCAAAATCCTTTTGCTATTTTGCATTTTGCAGTATGATTATAACACTTAACTAGTGAAATCTAAACTTCATTCTGTGTTTATGAGTACCCTGCCATCACTACTGAAAAAGAGGACACATCTTCTTTGTCAGAAGCATCCGTTTGGTCTTTCTGGAATACATATCACAAGGATTTACCATGGAATTCATTATGCTAATGAGGTAATAAGATTAATATATGTGCTATTTTTGATCAGGTAAACATGATGGTATTTACTATTTGAGATGCTTTCTGTTATGCTTTTATGATCAGGTGAAATAGATGAAATAGAGTTTGTCTTAGACTCATGCTTCAACAGATGACTATCCACAGACAAATCATCATTTCACAAAATTTGACCCAGTTTGAAGAGTGTCTAAAACTAGAAATGTGAAAGAGGCTAAAGTATATCAAGAGAAGATGATCTCTTCAGAATAAGACTGGTGTTGTCTGAGAGATTTTTATCACTTGCACTGCTTTTCTACCTGAAATGAATGTTCTGCATGGTTTTTCTCATTTTCAGGAGAAACAACAACAAAAAAAAACCAAACCACAAGACCAGAAGTAAATCCATTGGCCTTTACTTTTTTTCTGGAAAGTTAATAGTATCTGGTCTTTCGAAATAAATGATAAACACTTACATACAAGCACCCTGCATTAAGCTTCTCCTGAGCCGCATACATACTGCACAGGCCTCAAAAGATCTGCACAAGACTAAAATCAAGGTAGCGTTTGAGCCGTATAGTCTACTCATGGAATGATTTTAGTGTTTCAGGACTGTGTCATTGTAGAAAAAGATATACATAAAACAACAAAGAGAAATTTTGGAAGTAGGAAAAGTATGAAATGAAAAAAAAAAAAAAAACACCACCAAAACTGCTGTTCCCTTCTAGCCTTAGTTGAGTCAGGACAGTAAAAATCATAACCAAATAATATCCTGAAACAGTCTAGTGATGTATAGCAAGATCTGCCATTTTAACCTGAAAAGTGAGAATGTGTTGACTTCAAAAACTGGAGTTGTAAAATCACTTTTTTAAACTGCCCCTATATAACCAGGTTGCTGTTGTTCTTAGTTGCACAAACTAAATCATGAGTAAATACTCATGAACTTGAGGGACTGAAAATATAATTGAGTAGGCAATTAGCATTAATTTTTGAACAGTTTTATAGGTAAGTAAATAGATATGAAAACCAACAACACTTAATGTAATGAAAAATTTCCATTAGTTTACTCAGATGTTGATATCCAGTTCTGAAAGCAAAATACCTAAAGGAAAACTACTTTAACGGTTGGTTCAAATTAACATCCAAAACGTGTCTAGTGTAATCATTAAATTTCTTCCTTCTGCTGAGTTTGCAAGGATCATTCTGATCTACTGATAACATTTTACCATATTAGCGAGGTACAGAGAAGGAAGAAGGACAAAAGGGTCCTCACAGGATTTCTCCCAGATGAAGTTTTCATATAAAGGGGTGCTAGTAGCAACAGTCCAGACTGAAATGTAATCTAGACCATGAAATTTGTTCCACAAAACAATTCTGAAAGCATGTTCTCATTTGTAAACAATACAATTAGAACAAAACCACATAGTTCACAATCTGTTACAATTCTAGAAATATGTAGATCCTGCTCAGTTTTGAAAAATTATCTTTTTGCAATGTTTCAACATCTCAAGAGTGAGGGTGAAATAAAATGTTATGATACCTGAGGTGATACACTTCATTAAACTTTAATAGTATACCAGGATAATAATAATAAAAACAGCAATCTGTAAATAAGATATTATCAGAGATGCTGAAAATTCAACCATGTTTAAGCAAATTTACCCAGCAAATGTTTGTTTTTTAAATAGTCTACCATTAAATGTATTATACTTTCTTCTGTATGTAATTCAGTCAAATTGTTATTATCTATTTGGCTGAGTCAGAACCCTTTTAATGATATCTAAATACTGACTGGCTAGAGCTTCTGATAGACATCACCCTGATAAAAATCATGTTCTCATTAGGAAAATCTCTCAAGACAGGAAACTTTTGCTGTGAAAAGTGAGATGGATCACCTATACTGAGAGAGAAAAATAGGATAGGTCTTGAGTGGAATGCAATACATGTTTAATTTTTTATGGGGATCTCCTTAATGGGGAAATGATGTATGTAAAAAGGAAACTAGGAATTTTCATAAGAAATGTGAAAAAATGTAAAAGGTATGTAAATGGAAGACCTTGAAGCCAAAAGAAGTTCTGTGTCTCTTTTCCTGAAGCATTCAATATCTTTTTTGAAACCAACCAAGACCAACAAAATAAAGGTTATCCTAAAATCTCCTTTGATGATATATTACCATCTATTCCATAAATAATAGATTTCTGCAATGTTTAATTACTATAAGCTGTTCTGTAAAGTCTGTGAAACAGAATTATATTTGAAACTTCTTATGAGATGCAAAAGTCTGTGCTAGGTTATTTAGAGTTACTGGTAAACAAGTGGAATAAAAAACTTTAGAGTGACCTAAGGAGAAACTGGTGATAATTTGTAGGCATTCTTAACCAGTAAAAAAATGGGATGGATGAGCAGAAAGAGTGAGGTGGAGTGAAAATTGGCTGAATGATGAAACCCGTGATGGTGGTGATCAGCAGCACAAAGTCTAGTTGGAGACCAGTAACGAGTGTCACACGCAAGTGGTCAGTACTGGGTCCGATCCTGTTCATCATCTTCATTTATATTCTGGATCATCAGTTTGCTGATGCCATAAAACTGGGATGAATGTCTGGTACCCCAGAAGGTCATGCTGCAATCCAGAGGGGCCTCAACAGGCTAGAGAAATGGGCTGACAGGAACCTTATGAAGTTCACCAAGGGGAAATTCACTCCACCTGGAGTGGGACAACCCCATATGCTTCAGCCAACGAGATGGAAAGCAGGTTTGCAGAAAAAGACCTGGGGGTCCTGGTGGACACCAAGTTGAACATGAGACGACAAGGTATCCTTGTGGCAAATAAGACTAGCAGTATCCTGGGCTGCATTAAGAGAAGTGCTGCCAGCAGATCAAGAGAGAGCATTCTTCCCCTCTGTTCAGCACTGGTAAGGTCACACCTGGAGTGCTGGGTCCAATTCCGGGCCCCCCAGAAAAAAAAAATTATATAAATGACTTAGTTTACAAGTAAACCTCAGCATCTTTTGTGGTTGCCTAACTGTGGCATATCCCCACAGAAACGTATTTACCCACCTATGCATGCATATGTGCATGCCCTCTCTCACTCTTAAGTCACTAACATTCAAATCCAGACTGGCCAGCTACCTGAACCCCCTGGCTTAGATGTTTTATTCCATTCTCCTATAAAATAGTACCCGATACTCTTTTTTTCCTTCTTGAAAACAAAAAAATCAAAAGCAATGTTTCACTGAATACCATTTGTCTTCATCAGTCTCAGACCTCAGGAAATACCCAGCAAACACACAACTCCCATGTACGCATGACAAATTGACAAATATGTACAGTTTAGGTGTCCCAATATAAGCAGAGGGGCATAAAACAGTTTAATTAGATACTGTTTCAGTTCATACATAGCAAAATGTCCAAGAAAAATGCAATTAATGCCTTTAAAAAAAAATCCCTAAAGCGCAGTAAGTAATTGTTTTTGTTCATCCAGACTGTACAAAATGATTGCGCAAAATATGCCCAAAATATATTCTTCAGTGAGCACACACATACAGATACCTTAATACATGATTATCTGTATTTTGCTCTGGCACCTATTATAAGACAGACAGTGAACTGGCCATGACACAGGTAATGTTCATTATCGCAATTCTGCACGCAAATTTCAAAAGCAAACTATACAGCCAGACTATACAGCACAGACCTCATACACTTTGGAAACTTAAACTAAATCTTTTATTCTGTTCCAGGACCTGTGTCTTTCTGCATGAGATTCATCTTGCGCAATGTCAGAGGTTCAGCCTGGGTTAGCAGCCCAGGTTCTCTGCACATTCAACGGCCATAATACGTGGACACCTTTGGAAAAAAATACAAACTGTCAAAACCAAATTTTGACAGTTGTGTAAAGCAGAACAAATTTCCTTCTGGGTTGCTTGTACTACTACCAGTAAGAGCAAGTAAAGATTAATTTGAATAAATGCCTACATTTTAGAATTAGGTCTGATAAATCCTACCACAAATGCACTATGGTGGTAATATATTTGGAGCATGTGTTGAGAGGTTGTTTTCAGCATGGAAGTGGAACATATTACAGAATATTGTGGAATCAGTGAATCTTTACCTTCTCACCAAGAAAGAGAGGGTTATATCAAACAGTTGAAAAACATGAAATGTAGGTAAAAGGAGAGATACTTGAGGAATAAATGATCATAAATGAGGTTTATAAAGCAGAATTATTATCTTATGAGATAAGAGCCAGTACATTTTTATTAACCTGTACTCGTAACAGAAAGTGAAATTCTTTAAAATTCTATTACTTGAGTGATTTCTGTAAAAAAGAGGTAGATAGTATCTAACAGAAACAGAGTAAATATATAAAGTTCAAACTAAATACTAGCAACAAGATATTCCACTGGTAAGTGTTATTACAAAAATCTTTTAAAAGATAAAATTTTGAATAAAAATTCCACAGATA